AGAACATGCATGCCCATGTGTGGAAGTAGTTACCATGCCCAGATTGCTGATTTCCAAACAAAGGTATCTGTACCCCTTTTGTATGCGTCACTATATGTTGTATAAGCATTAAGATGGTGATTAGTTTACTTTATACAGTGACTTTCCTCTATATCGGCGTAACTGTTAACTGTGATTATTGGATCACTATTTGTTGGGATGAACTGATCATGGCATTCATGGCTCATCATCTATTAGTGCCACTTTGTTTAAATTGAAGTGTTTCCGGTAATAATGGTCCGGTGTTCTTATTAGCGAGGTCACATTCTACCACTATGTTAGTGATCTTGCATATTCATATCAGGCAAAGATTTCATTTACCATTCCAGATGGGGGAGAGGCAGTACCAAGGGACCAGAAGTTGCCATGCAACCATATATGGCCGATCAAGATGAGCAGGATCCTGTTCTAGCCTCTCAGTAAGACAGCTACCAGACTTGTCTATGATTGTTCCTTAATCCCATCTGTCAATATTTGACCAAGCAACGCCACTTTGTAGTCCAGTGGTGGTTTATATTACCGAACACTACCCGACAGTAAGCACCCAATAGGGACAACGACCAGCAGACTATAGAACGACTGGTCTCTCAGCTGAATGCGAAAGTCTCTCAACGTTTGCAAGTCTTTTTTCACCAGTCTTTGATGCGGAAATAGTCTCCGTGTGTCATATTTAATCCAAGTCTACGGTGTTATTTCTCTTGTAGTGAAAGTCGAGGCTGTTTCCGAGTTTTCTACTTCAGACAGCGATTGAAGCAGGATCACACCTGCCACTCTCAATTCCCCATGCCGCTCAGACACGTGGTACGGTAAACCATTGTCGTGCTAGCTTGTCCAGATGCTTCAGGAAAGCTCAGAGAGTGATATTATTCTAGACAAGTATGTAAGCGTTTAATCTAATTATGTTTTTTTGTGTGTATCAACCATAATCTATGGGCATGAGCATGGAGGAATTGGTTTCGGTTGGCTACACTGGAAATTAAATTTCGTTCACGCAAAAACAAAGCCTGTGCAATCGCTTTGACTGCCTAGCGTGACGTCATATGGGTGCTTTGTCGCGGAGCTGAAACTCCCGTCCCAGAAGATTGTACATAACGCGGCACCAGATTGACGTAATTGGGTCGGAAGACATTTGAATTGTTCAAATGCAGCTATAGTTAGCTTGTGTTCTGTTTTTGCCTCTTGTAAGAGATGAGTGAATATATAGCGTTAAAGAATACCTAGTCTCGGGGATACCCCACACCCCCACATCCCTACACCCCCACACCCCCACACCACGACACCCCATCCCCCAACAGATTCCATTGAGCATAACAAGCTAAATAACACTGGCAGGTATATGAAACAATTACTGAATACCAACGATGACTTTGTTCTGCTTAAAGCAATACAACACTGATAGGGTCCAGTACAAGGTCGAACGTCCAGTATATTGCCCTGATCAATATAAAATAACTCTACTACTCTCTGTCTATTGCTGATTTTCATTTTGAAATTCGATATTTATTGTGCTACATAATTATACATCTCAAGGCACAATAGTGTGTCGACGAGCTCCATTAACGACCAATATAGCGGACTCAGTTGAATGAATACAATAGTTCTATAGTAGAAACAGAAATGATTCACTGTCTAGGGCGGTAAACTGTTGAAATGTATATTAACAAACTGTAAATGTAAATTACCAGGTCACGGGTTTTTGAGTTCTTTGAACCAGTGTGGTTGAGTTCCGAGCATGATCGGCCCACATTAATATAGTCCTACAATTCCTGTATTGAAGGTGAGAGTGGTACACATACATGACTGTCTCACACGAGGGTTGACTTCAGTTTTCCAATTGTCCTGCAACATTTCGTCAGCTCCTGCCTGTGTCGTTTACATTTCAAAACATTTGAAGTACTAGTATGATGCTTATAAAAAAATATAGAACTTTTTTATTATACTTCCCACCTTCTTAAATGCCACTCAAAGATTGCAGAGGGTATCGCACTCCCAGTTAATCGTTGTTTGATCAAGATCACAACATTCAAGACTTTAGTGAAGTTTTCAAATTTCTATTATTTCAAATAAAAAGCTTTTCAAATATTAGGGTGGCATTTGATAACTTATCTGGTGCAATAACTCAGTTTGACTTGTACCATATAATATCGTGGGTGGTTTAAGTCACCTTCACCGTCACCCCACCTGTCTTCCCAACTACAATCTACCTCCACCGTTCACCGTCACCCCACCTGTCTTCTCCTCTACAATATACCTCCACCGTTCACCGCCACCCCACCTGTCTTCTCCTCTACAATCTACCTTCACCGTTCACCTTCACCCCACCTGTCTTCTCCTCTACAATCTACCTCCAACGTTCACCGTCACACACCTGTCTTCTCCTCTACAATCTACCTCCAACGTTCACCTTCACCCCACCTGTATTTCCTCAACAATTTACCTCCACCGTTCACCTTCACCCCACCTGTCTTCCCCTCTACAATCTACCTCCACCGTTCACCTTCACCCCACCTGTCTTCTCCTCTACAATATACCTCCACCGTTCACCTTCACCCCACCTGTCTTCTCCTCTACAATATACCTCCACCGTTCACCGTCACCCCACCTGTCTTCTCCTCTACAATCTACCTCCAACGTTCACCGTCACCCCACCTGTCTTCTCCTCTACAATCTACCTTCACCGTTCACCTTCACCCCACCTGTCTTCTCCACTACAATCTACCTCCACCGTTCACCGTCACCCCACCTGTCTTCTCCTCTACAATATACCTTCACAGTTCACCGTCACCCCAGCTGCCTTATCCTCTACAATATACCTCCACCGTTCACCTTCACCCCACCTGCCTTATCCTCTACAATCTACCTCCACCGTTCACCTTCACCCCACTTGTATTTCCTCAACAATCTGCCTCCACCGTTCACCTTCACCCCACCTGTCTTCCCATCTACAATCTACCTCCACCGTTCACCTTCACCCCACCTGTCTTCTCCTCTACAATATACCTCCACCGTTTACCGTCACCCCACCTGTCTTCTCCTCTACAATATACCTCCACCGTTCACCGCCACCCCACCTGTCTTCTCCTCTACAATCTACCTTCACCGTTCACCGTCACCCCACCTGTCTTCTCCTCTACAATATACCTCCACCGTTCACCGTCACCCCACCTCTCTTCTCCTCTACAATATACCTCCACAGTTCACCGTCACCCCACCTCTCTTCCCCTCTACAATATACCTTCACCGTTCACCGTCACCCCACCTGTCTTCCCATATACAATCTACCTCCACCGTTCACCGTCACCCCACCTGTCTTCCCCTCTACAATATACCTCCACCGTTCACCTTCACCCCACCTGTCTTCCCCTCTACAATCTACCTCCACCGTTCACCGTCACCCCAGCTGTCTTCCCATCTACAATATACCTTCACCGTTCACCGTCACCCCACCTGTCTTCCCATCTAAAATATACCTCCAACGATCTTCCAACCCGTCTTCCCGTTAGTCCGACCTTGTACGTAGCATGTGAAGTACACCGTCGCTTGCCTCTCAGTCCTGTGAACTACGTCGCCTTCATCTACGTCCGACCTTGTTAGTATTATTTGAGCCACATAAAATAAACCAACGGCTGCCTCTCCGTCCAGCTTGTAGCTCCCATTCCAAGTGATCCATCGCCTCCCACTCAGTCCAACCCTTAAAGTCCCATTAGAAGTGAACCATCGCTTGCCCACCAAGGGAGATTTTATCTGAAGTGCACAATAGTCCTTCTTCTCATACCAGCACATCCAAGGTTCTTTTGAAGTAAGACACACAATGACGCCACCGTAGCAAGACTTCTGTGAAGTAAACCCGTGTCTGATCCCACAGCCCCCCTCAGCACCCCTCCTTTCCCCACCTTCAGCACCCCTTACACTTTCTCTGAAGTACAACCCCTCTGTCCCCGCCCCTGTCACGGAAATACCTTGTGTACTTCATGGCCTACTCCAGTGCGAGGACTCGGCAACCTCCGGATCAATGGCCGTCCACGTCAATGCAACCTTGTACTCTCGTTCTGTCATGGCACACTTATATCTCCATATCTGTCTATTCGTGATGAATTTTACATGTACCACTCCATATCTGTTTCCCTGGTTGTCCATGAGGCGGACTACATGGTATGTGGTGTTAAGGTGGACACTGTCTGTGTAGTAGACACTGCCGACACATGCGACGTGCCGGGTCTTATTGACGTATTTATTTAACCTTACAGGTACATAGTGAACGGATGTGTTTCCTATCGATGTTTCCACAATGACGCCGTGTATGTTGAAATATACTGCGCCGCCGACGACGCCAACAACTGCGAATACACATTTCCAGGGTGCGTTTACATATAGACCGAGGGACAAAAGAACACACACATACATGGCTGATGTCGGCCCAATATGAAACAAACAATAAATAGTTATTCAATAATGATGTATCTGATATGGGTATCGAAGCTGTGGTTCTGGCCCAAGTCTGCTGTGTTCCGGGGCTGTTTACCCGGTAAGGAATAGTTACCTTCGTATAGACAACCTAACGTATAGACAACCTTCGTATAGACAACCTAACATATAGACAACCTTCGTATAGACAACCTAACGTATAGACAACCTTCGTAATTGTTTAGTCCAATCCGATATTTGAAAGCATAAATTCTTGTGCATTGCAGATTTCAAATTGACACAGACCCGCTGCAGAAACATTACATTATACAAATGCAGTACAGGTTTCCGTGTTAAGTAATAGTTGACGCTTGCTGTATCCCCCTGTTCAGCAATACAGGCCATTATATGGCCCGTAACACCGAATGACACAGAAATCCTGTTTGACACTATTCAATGCCGATGAGAGCAATCAATATATCTACACAAAGTTATTTATGTGGCTAGCCCGGGGGATACTTGGGGTATTCCATAACAAAATTAACTAAATTACGAACCTGTTTTCTCGCGTCCGTTAAGGGATCCTACTAGTCCAACCCAACAAGTGCTGTGGGTGCCGTGCTGAGCCCTGAGGACTTCCAACATGAACCGTGTGGTCCCTGGACCAGAGTTCCTCACCTGACTCTCCCCACAGAGGCCACTATGTATACACTGTATCTGTCGTGTGTTCTAGTATCCCACATCAACACCGTAATCCGTGTCTCGGTGACTGTGGCAGTGCCTATCAGTGACTGTGGCAGTGAGTCGGCTCTATGTGCCGTTACACCACCGCTCCCTGTGCTAGTCCAGTGCGTGCTCCGAGCTTAAAGGCTCATCAATACGATACAATATTAATTGGAAATGATTACTATGTTACGTGCGCGGCCTCCTGGACAGACATTGATTGTCGCAAAGCTCCTGCTCTACTTGGCGACAAGAAATACGTTTGGCTCATTTAACATGTTTAGAATAATTTTCGATTGATATTTTTGAACTGGATTCGAAATAATTACACGAGTGGTTTGTTTTTGGTGTTTATTCATTTAACACGGTTTTTACCTACGAAACAGATGCTGATTTTTGTGAAATAGCCCAAACTGATTGTCAGTCACGTGACTTCCGGTACATCCGGTCACGCCACACGGTGTGAGGTTGTCATTGATCTAGTTACGTTATATAATGCCGGTGGTAAAATAAACAAGAGTTGTTCCCTAGGCCACGTCAGGAGCGACCGTAACTTGAGAACATCACCGATATGATCTGAGGTGGGGGTCGACACGCCGGTAACCACCTTCACGTTGCGCGTTAATGATCATAACGTAGCCGCGATCGACAACCACACCAGCGTGATATCTTCGGTCATTTGGCACTGAGGGGTGCATACTGATGGTAAGGGGAGATTCGCCAACTTTACATCCAGTGACATGTATGCAAATGTCCGATCAATTAATACTGAAATTGTTTTATCTCACGTGCGTCTATTGGCATACATGAGCAAGACTCAAGCTTCTGATAATTGTGGTGTTTTTTAAACATAGTCTTTAAATAATATTTCATCTTTGATGGGAAGCGCCTCTCAACACCTGCTTATCACACATGAAGTGGCTTTGGTGAAATAGGATTAGCAAGCGAGGTTTGATGGGAAAGAGTGAGCTGTGTTTGGAGGAAGTGTGTGGTTCAGTTTGTTGGGGTTTTGGCCCATGGGATTTGGGTTTGCAGGGACTGATTCCTGTGTTTTGGTTTGCAGGGATGAGTGAGGAAAGTTTTAAGGGGATGAATTAATTCGGTATGTGTGATATATATGTATAATTATGCATAATATATATGCTTGTATATGTATTTATCATGATTCTGACACACCAAAGGGGTGTGTCTAGTACATTGCGGCGAGTTGTACAAGCTCTAAATAAGGTACTAGACTGACATCTGGCTGCAATATTGGCAGTCAGAGCGAGTATGGAGTTCTTGAAAGGCCGTCTACGAAAATGTCATGTTGAGGAGTTCCTGGAGAAGTGGCCAGACTGCCTGTGATTCTCTCTAGTACATTCTACATGGAAATAATCATCACAGGTTTATAATAGCTAAAACAGCCTATCAAATAATAAATATATGTTTTGCCCAGCGTAGAATTTCTGCAAACTGTGGAAAGACGTCATATCGACCACCGACCGTTTGATTTATGTAAATATCCGTAAATTGATTTTTAGAAATGTTTCATTAACATCATTCATAATTTATGTGTACACTTCAAGCCAAGTATAACGTGTACATGTTGACAGTTATAGTAGTAATAATAATAGATAATAGTGCATTTCCATGGCGATATTTCCAACCATAAGGAAGCTCAGAGCGCACAGTCTGATTATAATTACCGCGGATAACTCAACCTGCCTCCGAGGCGATAGAAGGTTAATAGTCACATGACTTATGCGGCCGGGTATCCAATTCTGCTTGGTAAACAGAGGCAGTTTTTAACAGACTCACTTGCATTTATATAAAGTACACGTGAGACAACATGTATCACATGTGCTTCGTTGCGGGGCAGGCCTTGAAGTCCTGGAAACTTTAAGGAGTCAAGCTGTCACACACGGTCACCCATCCAAGACTCTCCGCGCCCAACGTTGCTTAACTTCAACTGATTTGTGACCTGAGCTCTATGCACAGGCCCACACACCACCACAGGACATTGATTTTAGGCTCTGAAACTGAAAAGATTCAGAAAGATTGATGCTATTATTTGCTTATAAATGCTCAAATCGCAAATTGTGATGTTTTGATGGCCCTGCAGTGAGAACCTTTTTCAGTATGTTCTCTCCTATCTGTTGCCCGTTTTAGTTCTTCATATGTTATTAGATGCATCATAATATCCATACTTCACATAGAGCAGGTCAGTGAATGGTAAAACTCCTCTACAAACGCTTCTTTAATGGGTGGACGAGCTGATCAATATTGGAGAATGATGTAGCTGGAACACATGTATGGCTATGATGATGAAGGACCAAGAATAGTTATATCAGCGACTTTGAGATTCGAACCCTCAGTCCGAGCGTGACTAAGGGTAGTAGCTATGTACTACTCAGTTAAACAGATTGTTTTATTGACAACTGGAATTAAAAGTGACAAACTCATTTCCATAATAGCAAGAAATATCTGGTAGAAAAGGAGTTCCACTATCACAAGCGATTATGCATCAATATTAATTAGTGTCGATACCTGGCGAGCCACTAATGAAGCATTCATAACCCTGCAAGTGTCTTGAAAGTGTTGGGGGCGAAGACCTCAGCTCCGTCTATTTTCGAAGAGCTAAGTTGTGTTAAGTTTACATCAAAAGATTACTCACGGTCGAACCTGTTTTTTTAGCTTGTGGCAAGCATAATGGCGGCCAACAGACGCCCAAGTTGAAATGGCTACTGCGCTATAGGTCCATTGCATCATCTCTGACAACAACAACACGTGGTTTCCACCTGCACTTTCATAACATGAGACTCAGATCTAACAAAATCACATCATAAACATCGCATTTACATGCTATGACATGTCTAAAAGCTAGTTGATAACAGAGGATAGCATAACAGTTACTCCATTTAGGATGTTTCTGAATCAAGTTTCGTTGAAACACCAGCAGTGAGAACCTTATCAGTATCTCCATAACGTGCTGTTTGGAAGCTATGTAGTCTTATTATCTGTACTCTGTGGCACCAACAACCATTTGGGTTACATGCCCAGTACTCGATCATATCACAATGAACATGACAATTATTAGAATGTAACATTTAACAAATGTGATCAGTATCTTGTATGTCCACCTCGGGCATCAATACAGACCCCAACTTGTCGTCGTACTGAGAAGACCAGACACCTGATAACCCGAGGAGGAGTTCTTTGCCACTCCTGAATAAGTTGTTGTCTGTTTCCGGTATTCACAGGTTTTGCACGAATTTGTCGACCTAAATTATCCTACAATGCTCAATTAGCTATATGCCAGGTAACCAAGCAGGCTAAGGCAGCACGTGGACGTTTCACTGGAGGAACTTCGAGGAGTTGTCTCAGGGACGGTAGGATAACGTGAAGCAGTATCTAGCCGATGTACCTCCATCCAGATGCCCATCCACCACAACAACATCGCTCTTCTTCTGGCACTAGATGTAACCACAAACTATGACCGAAGATATCACGCTGGTGTGGTTGTCGATCGCGGCTACGTTATGATCATTAACACGCAACGTGAAGGTGGTTACCGGCGTGTCGACCCCACCTCAGATCATATCGGTGATGTTCTGAAGCTACGGCCGCTCTTGACTTGGCCAAGGGAACAACTCTTGTTTAGTTTACCACCGGCATAATGTAACATTCTGATATCGTCGAACAGTGCCCACAGTGCGGACGTTGACATCGATGTTGACGCCATAGAATAGCGGTCGTTGGGGGTGGGGCCAGAACCCTTCCACTTCTTTGCCTGTCCACTGTCTGTCCTGTCATCATGTCTCTTCAACCTTGGTAATGCGAGTGCAGCTCAAGGTTGTTGCAACATGAGCAATCAACCCCCTTGCTTCCTGCAAAAATATGTTCATGGTCGCTGATGCTCTCGTGACAGTATTATGTCATGGAATGGTTCAATGCACTTTTTATGCCAGAATTATACACGCATTTCATACTGTATCTGTATACAATTTTTGTGTTTTAAGACATTTTGTGCAAAACCCAAACAAAACAATATTTACGACAATCATGGCAATGCAATGGGGTGATTGCTGCCATGACATATTTAATTAGATATGTGTTGGATTCCTATTTTCATTGTCGTTTTTCCCTCGTTAGTTTATTTGGGTTATTTGAGTTCCAGGAAAATATGACAGTACGAGAGATAAGTATTTAACAGCTACTTTAAACCAAACTTAAGGACAATGGTACGAAAATACTTCAAAATACAAGATTATATCAATTCGCTCAATGATTGTGTATTTTATCAATCTGGACAATGTACAGCCTCACTAATACGTAACTGACAAGACTACAAATATCATATTAATACTCCGACGTATGTGTTCGCCGAACATGAGTTATTGGACTTTCATTGAAGTCATTGACGTCAACATTCATTTCCCAGACACGAACGTGGTGTGATAATCTCCTGTACGGACCATGTTCCAGGCGTCAACACATGTGCCGTCTATCACATTCCCTCATGTCTGGTGCATTGTTCCCTGAGCTATTCCCTACCCCTGTTGTGCGTGATATCTTACCGAGGTAGACGATCTTATCACCTGCAAATAGAACAGCGTCAAACATTTAATTAAATGTGGTTTGCATCTTCCGAGAGGTTCTTGCCAGGAAGCATGTCAGTCGTCACTCTATCCTGCTTCCAGGATGTCGGCTTTCTACATCCGTGAACATAGCTTACCTAACCAGCAGTAAGAATGTGATTGTGTTACTGATGCAGATGTGTTGCCATTTGTCTTTTCTCATGTTAGATGGTGACTTCCGAACGCGCGATTTTACCCTGAACACGGTACGTACAGAACTAATTTGTGACACTCACTAAATAACCATACAAGAGCAGCGTACAATCGATACTGAAACACACAGTCTACAAACCAGACATCACGTTGGCTTGAATAACTGGCAGCAGCATAAATAATAGGTCTGTATAACATGTCAGCACAGGTCTTTCTGAGTTTTTGAATTCGGAATGCTATTGGAAGTTAACAGTAATTCAGTGTTGTCAGTTTGGTTGTCCAATCCAGACTGGGAAGTACATAAATACAGGTCAGGTCGAAATGGACCACGAATCGCACTGACAGATGTCAAATTATGTACGTAGGTACCACGGCACTTCTAGAAAGTGTC